GCGAAGAAGACTCCATCGAATCCCGGCGAAGATCTTGAAAGAAGATATGACAGAAGTAAGTATGACGGCATGCAACCGGTGGGGCGATGACGTCGGTAAAGACAAAAGAGAGCACGGAATCTGGTTTCAAGTTAAGGAAAGAAAGATCCAAACTTGTTGCTGCTCTGGATTCGACGGTCGACGACTTGGGGGTTCTCATCCTTTGCTTGTTGTGACTTTCACCACCACCATAACCACTACTGAAAGATATGAATGTTGGTCGGGAAAAATAGTGTGGGAGCTACATGCGGTGGCGATGTAGAGGAGCGGGATAAGATCGAGGAGGTGCATATCTAGCCATTCTCGGCACGTGTTTAGGTTATCGACGTTTTTCCCTCTCGACATATGTTTTGTGTCAATTAATTAACAGATAATGAAAACAAAACGCTGCTCGTTTCCTCGTTACTTTGGGACAGGCCAGCAGGCCCATTCAGAACAGGTCGGTTAGGGTTCAGTTGGAATTTATTAAACGAAATAAATGCCACATCACCTCTACGTGAACCAATCAAAAGCCGCATTACTGGTGCCGCAATTTTAACCGCGACACCGTAGTATTGTCCGTATTTTTTTGGCCCATCTTCTTTGTCCTTTAGTGGGGGAGAGGAGGATATTAACTGGCGGAAGGGGGGATTTAGATGACGGAAGATGAGATTGAGCTAGGGGCGGAATAATTGGAGTGAAATCAGAGCGCGAAGATCACGAGCATAGCCACTAGAGAGAAGCAGTGGATCGAGAAGAAAATTGAATCGAACAACGTCCAATAATTCAGTATTAGTTTCCTTTTGCTTTGATTGTTGAGATGATGATTAATAACATGATTGTATGCTATATTTTCTTCATGAAATAAACCATAATTTTCGGGAAACACCATATGATGTAGGTATTTATATACGTGATGAATTGACTCATATTTCCTTTCTTCCAATTTCTATTGCATGGAATTGCTTAATGCTTTGTGTTGATTAGCCACCAAAACAATGATTCGTAGTTAGTTAGGTTACTAGCGACAATGAAACCCTAATAATTGAACCTATTTCACGTGACATAGTAAGTGGATTACATAATGTGTTATGATGTCTTGAATAGGATATCGATCTTCAGGCTAAACAGTTAATTCATTCAGATACAACAATAGTATTTGATTTAATTGTTTGGTACGTAGTAATTTTCGACAGAGATAGCTAGCACAATAGAGATATCCTGGTTGTAGATATATGGATTAAACTGTTTAGAAAAGATGAATTAATTTTTATATGATAGGTAGTGAATCCCGGTGTTTGTCCTAGAGCTTTCTCCCATTGATTTCAACCCAACAGCTTTAATTATTTTGCTTAATTATTTTGCTATTAGATAGTAGTTTCATCACTCAAACCATTTTCACAACCTGTACCAGTCCATGAGAGTCAATTCCCAGATTTCCCATTTTATTACCCTATTTTAATGATCAAATACTTTGGTGTGACCATTGTAAACTATTGTTTAGTAGTCAATAATTTGGTGGCATTATGTTCTTCTAATAACCAAACCAATGGCCACAATTTTAATAACCGAAGTAATGATCACACTTAGAATATATATATATATATATATATATATATATATATATATATATGTGTGTGTGGTTACTATTTATGCCCAAATACCTTCGCCTTATAGGTCATACCTTAGGCTCCTCATCTTGGAGCCTGATCTTATGAGCGCCCGAGTCCTGCTTAACGCTCTGTAGGCGCCTCCCCTTGAAGCCCGCTCTTTGGTGCGCCTTGGTCCTGCTAGCCAATCCTTAGGTTCCTAGCCTACACACACGCACTGAGGGGGGCACCTGGGCCCATTAATCCTCCGACGCTCAAGTTAGTTCCAATTATAGAGAGAGAAGTATTAAACTATAGGTTTTAGTGAGAGAGTCCAACCTACGTAAATGCTACCTACCGACCCTATTTATACTCACCCAACCCTGGACCGGGTTAATTCCACCCAGCTCCACGTCAGCATCACTTTTAATTCTTCGTACTTCTGTTAGACCGGGCGCCCCGACCAACATGTCAGGCTTCTAATAGATGCCAGGCACCCAAACCGTACTCCCTTGGAGTCTTCCGAGTCTTGTCTTCTAGCTTCCCTCATCATACTTGGGTTTGGCCTTGCGGGCCAACCCGTGAACTTGCCCCATAAAGTAACCCTCCTCTTCCTCATTAGGCCGTATTGGGCTTTCACTTGGGCCTCTCTTTGTAACAACCCCAACAATTGCCCCCCAGTTAGGCTCTCAAGTCTCCAAAACTTGAGGGCCTGACTATATTCAAGGGTCTGACTATCCCTCGAACCGTTTGCCAATCGGAGCGCCAGGTGCCCTCCGATTACCTCCATCTGCTCGACAAGCGTATGCGACACGATTTCCTCTTGATCGTCTCGATCTTCCCTTTAGCGGCACCTCGACTTTGATAAACCGCTCGCATGTCCACCCGTTGTCATCCGGTAGGCGCCTGTACACACATGCCCTATTTTTGTTATCGACACCTCGACGCTGTTGAGCTAGGCGCCCTCTACCTGCGGGGCCCTTTATGTATTACGGGCGCTTTACATCTCCCTTAGAGATCTTTCAAATATTAGGACGCCAGATTTGGGCGTGGAGAGTATTTCCAATCAAGGGCACTATATTTAAGGCGCTTTAAGTATTTGGAACAAAAGATTTTATTTGGGCACACCAAACATTTCAAGACAAAGCGATATATCATGGAGGTAACACCAAATTTCACAAAAAAACAAAGTACTTAGCTTGGTTTGAGTGTGTTGAAGCTCATGCCAACCGTGGCGAATCCCATGCTAACGCTTGCTATCAAAGCCTAAGTTTAGAGTTGCAATCTAGAGATAAAGGCGCTTGAATTTGTTGTTGGGGCGCTAAACTTGATACCCAAGGGTGAACAACTGAACATGATTGCACGTTCATCATTATGGCCAAATGGAGTTGTAGCTCGGTGGTTGTGCGTTGCGGGTCGCCTAGGTTAAATAATGGCGCAAGCGCATAGATTACAATAACTTGTGACTTAGTATGATGGTGGAGGCGCCCTTCTTCTTCGGAAGGCAGTAGCTTCGAAGCTTGGAGCATGCATTTTATTAGCCTTCTGTTTTAAACTGACCGCCCGGGCTTAACGAGCCTCCTTGTTATCCTTGAATTTGAGGGCTTGCGAGGCTCCTAGGTGAAATAATGACGCATGCGAATAGATAACAACTTGTAACTTAGCGTGATGGCGGAGGTGCCCTTCTTCTTTAGAAGGTATGAGGTGCAAAGATTGGCGCAGGCATTTTATTAGCCTTCTGTTTTAAACTGGGCGTCTGGGCTTTAATAAGTCGTGCCAACCTCTATTGGGGCTCGAACTAAGCGCCTGGGCTTAACGAGCCTCCTAGTCTTGGGCTTTAAACTTTCTCCAAAATTTCAAGATAAAAATAGGAGAAGACATCTGGCTCATAAATAAAATGGGCACCTCAATGAAATTAGGCGCTTAAGGCCTTTTTTAAACAAGACAGGGAGGCGTCGAGCCCAAATAGGAGATGGGTGCCCAGACGTTATCCTAACTTGAAATGCTCTTTTAATTATAGATGCCTCCGGTGAAATGAGAATTTCATTGTAGTCCACTAGTATAGGCGCCTGATTCAATGTTGAAGCCCATGTTGGGTTAGAGTGTTGGCATTTAGCTTAATTTGAGCATAGTAAATCCCATGTTGACCTTGAGCACCTGTATGTATAAGTGCTTGCTGCTGCATTAACTTAAAAATAGACACTCTCGTCTTGTTGTTGAAGCCTGTTTGTGCAATTTAACAAGAGGTGCCTTCATGATGCGACGAATATAGTGCTTCTTGTGTCGAGCAGATGGACTCGATGCCTCTTTTTTCCTTCTTTCTAAATGTCCCTCTATTGCGCCTCTAGCTTTGCCAGGCCAACCAGTCATGGCACAAAGCCTTCTCTTTCTTAATTTTGAAAGAGCCTCTTTTTTCTTCTTTATTTTTTGCCATGCGCTTCTTCTTCCTCTCCCATTTGAATTTTGTCAAGCGTCACCACCACTCTTCCTCCTTGGTTCTTCTCGCCCAACTATACAATAAAATTTATTATATGGCAATCGGACGCCTCGTCGCTTCTTTTTTTTATTTTCTCATCTCCAATGGGTGCCTCATCTGTTCATCTTCTTCTTGCCCCTACCTACTACGCCTCCAACTTGGCGATGCCGACCAGCGGCGGATCCAGGACAGGGTAGAGCACTAGGCTGTATTTGAAAAGAGGTGGAGAGGGCAGGGCCGTAACCCGACAAAACCCAAAAACACACCGAAAAAATACCTACAATGGAAAATTTACACGTACTATACTAGCTGTGGATCCATCACTAGTTAGTCCGGTTGCCCAACTCTTACGTATGAGAAGCCATCTAGGCTTTCCTTAAACTTAAACTTATCGTGGAAGGCTCTTCTTCCACGATTCTCAAGAGCAACACTGCTGCTCATCTTAAAAATCTCAAGAGCATAACTGCTGCTCTGTCTCAAAGATCTCAAGAGCATAACTGTTGCTCTATCTGAAAATCTCAAATGGCAACGAACTGACGCTAGCGACTAAAAACACTTAAAACGACTTCACCTTCTTGAAGGTGAAGTACTTCTTAAAACAAAAGGACTTGTTCTTAACTTTAACAATCACTCATAAGCGTAAAGCTTTAAAGCAAACATCACACATTCACTATAAACCACAGCTCAAACAAGCACATATCAACAATCATGAGCATAAACAACCATAGCAACACTTCACAAAAAATACTGAAAACTCTAATACTTGAAAGAATACGTAAGGCATAGAATTTACCCCTTTACACTCACTTGACTGTACAAGTCGACATTTCTTCCTCCAACAACACTACTCGTTTGTTTCCATGCTAACTCTTTGTAACCCACATCATCCAATCCATAATCAATGCACATCAGCTCATGTAGGAGCTACCTCTTCATTCCATCCATGAGGTGGCCACCATCTCCTCGTAAGCAATTTCACTGCCTCATGACCTATCCATCTCCACTTTCAATTCTTTGGAAGGTTTCCAAAGCGCAACAATTATGATTTTCCTTCTAACTTCAGCATCTAATTTTGCCCACCAGTCTAATTAAGCAGCCTTTCTTCCTCCAAAATACATTGGCGGCAACTCTTGTAGTGCTCAACTTCTCTTTCAACTTCACCCCTCGTCTCTTAGCATTAGCAGAATTCAACCATGCAAGCCTAAGGGCGACTTCCAACTGATTTACAATAAAAACCTCAATGCTATAATAGCCTCTCACCTTCAGCCACTACAATTCCACCCAATCTGCTCCCAATTCACTCTCAGGGCTCCTCAAGAACCATCCATTGGACACCGCGCCCATGGTGAGAACAAAATCACCAACTTTCTCAACGAACTCTTTCCACACCGTCACAGAATCCAAACAACTCACTGACCACGAGCAGTCCTGCAGCTTTTCCCCTTCTCTCAATCCAAAATGCCTAGTGGACTCAAAAACTAACCTTTCCGAATGGTTGGACTCGGCAGTCCGTGATAAAAGACCAGTGGACTTCTTGTAGCAGAGGCTTGGGAGATCGTCGGAAGGAAGGTCTGGCAGGATGATGAAGCGGCCGTAACCGTTTGTCCGTAGCTTTCCGAGCATTTGAATCAAGAGCTGGGTGTATTTGGGATCGACAGTGATAGAGGGAGATCAAGAACTGGGATTAGGGTTGGACGACTGGGATTGTGATTTAGGGTTAGCTTGAGTTTTAATTAGCTTAGGGTTTTTTTGGTATTTCATAAATTATGGGTGAGTTTTAATTAGCTCAGGGGGTATTTTGGGCATTTTTAGTCCTCATCGATAATACAATGGAATTTGACAAATTTCCCCAAGGGTATAATAGTCATTTTGAATTTTGGAAAGATTGGGGTGTAACATCCACTTAACTATAAACTTAAGTGGTACCGAGTGCACATATATTAGAGTTCAGTGATATTTGACGCCCTATTCAAATTTAAGTGGTATGTCTACCTCAATTCTCGAACTTAAGTGGCCTCTGATTTATTTTACCTTTTCGTCAGCTTCTTGTTATAACAGAAATAGTTATATATAATTGTGAAGCAAACATCTTAACTCTGATCATATTTGTTATTATTTTATTGTTACAATAATAATATATAGCGTTTGATACAATGAAAGTGAAGCGAGTGTTGAATTGAATTAGGTAGCTATATATCTAACTAGCTAGCTAGTTTCCCCTTCCATGGGGGGCTGGTCTCGAAGTACTTCCATTAGTAACTATTTTGGATTGTTCCAAAAGCAGTTGATCAGCTTTCTCCCCGCGGCTTCTCTTCTCAGCATTAATCACACCACCTGAAAGTAAAGAAGCCATATATGGATAAAATCAGGACTTGCATATGCATGCATGGGCGCCAAAGTAATTAAGGAGGGTAATTAGTTATAGGGTTTTGCCTTACTTTGTTTTGAAGTGCCTAGCCTTCGATGTTGATCAGCCATGATCAAAGGCTCGGAGGAGAAGGCGGCAACTAACAGGATTAAGCTGATCATCATCATGTATCCAACCACCATTGATATTCTTCTACTATCAACACCCATTATATCCACAAAGCTCTCTTATCTTATGTCTCCCCTCTGGCCAAATTTCCCCTTAATATATAGAGACAAGAGACGTCTTACCCCTCAAGCGAGCAAAAGGAAGAAGCAGAAGCTTCAAACTACTTTACCATTTTCAACAAAGTAGAACGCTATATGCATTATCTTTATTATGCTTCGTACGTAGTTTCCACTAGGAAATTAAAAGCCACCTGAACGCGGTGAATTATTTAAACGTTGATTCCTGACGCTAGCTAGCTATTGTAATAAAGGGAAGTCATGCATGAAGAATTGTTTAAGTAGAATTTGATAGTTGATTTGGTGTTATCATTTGGTGTATTATATTGTTTTGGATAGGAGGACTACTGATGATACGGGAAACGGGGAAAGTGCAGTGCACAATTAGTGCCTTAGGCGAGGTTTGTGACCACTCCGCCTCAGGTGGACGGATTGCGGATTTGTAGAAATCTTGAGAAAGAAGAATAGAATGGCCGGAAAAATCCTCAGCTTTGCAATTGCAATTATCTCGGTGGCTCTTATTTATATCAGTTCAGATTTTACTGTTTATAACGGTAACTAAATCCGTGGTTAATAACTAGTGGACTAATAGAAACTAACCACACTACTATTAACTGATACTAAGTGAAAAGGTGGGTTTTTTTTTCAAATATATTCCAAAAGGGAACAACTAGTTAACAACTATACGAATTGAAAGTCTTTTCAGTTAACCGTAATAATACATATAAGAAAAAGGGACGACGATCGACAAATAGCCAAATCATCGATAAAAGAGTATTTTTCGTCACACAACGGATAGCTCTTAAAACCTATATGACATGGACAATATCCATTACTTTTACCCTATAAAGGTGAAAATCATGGAACTAACCATGCTGAAAGTGAGGCAGAGAAGCAAATCCTTGCAATTTTGATAGGAAGAATCATCTGCAAAATTAACAAACAAACGGTCTCCAACCAGACCAAGGACTTAGCACATGCAAAATTAAAAAAAAAATCATTAAAGGACAGTAACTGTGTCGAACACCAAAACGAGCTGAACACTCTTCAACGTTATCGAACTAGGAAGGACGACTAACTAGGCCCACGAAGCCAAAGAGGTTGTACCAGGAGCCGCCTTCAGCACCGCATAATTATGTGATAGGCATCATTAATCGCCACATGCAAAAAGCAAACAAAATAGCCCTAACAGGCAATGTACTCAAAATCGCGTTTTAAAACTTAAAAACTTACGATTTCACGTTTTTAGGTCACTAAAACGTTTCTAAACAAAATCTTAGTTTTTATAACTTATGTAGTTAAAAACTCCGTTTTAAAACTTAAAAAATTACGATTTTACGCTTCCAGATCACCAAAACATTTCTACGTAAAAACTCGCTTTTGACTGCATTGCTAACAGGCAAGTCCAAACTACCAAATGGAACCGAAGTGGACAACTAGGCTTGCCATCGCCTCGGCAAATAGAAGCAATTGGCCCTGCAAAATTAATAAGCAATCAGCCCACAAACGGGCTTCAAAAGCCCAGAATAATGCCTAAGCTTTTGCTTTACAACCAAAAATTGCCAAACATACTTTAAATGAGTTGAACCCCGTCCCGAAGCCCATCTCACGGCATATCGGGGCCGAGAACATGGGCAAGCCCAATGCATCCCACGTTAGGAATGCATCTCCTGCTAGGATTCCTTATGACTGCCCATGATGTAATACCACAGGAGAAAGTTGTGTAGGGTATATAAATGACTGTAAGGCCTTTGGCTAGAATCAACTCTCGGAAATAATAGTGCAGGTGTGAGCTCTTTCGAGCGCACCGTGGATTAGTCTCGTTTAATCACGAACGTGGAAGCGAGTATGAAAACTTTGGAGCAAAATCAGAGCCAGTTCCGACGGAATTAAAGTGAGTGTAAAGGGGGTAAATTCTACGCATTACGTGTTATTTCAAGTTTGACGAGCTTTAAGTATTTTGATGAAGTGATTGTTATTGCTTGATTGTGTTATGATTGGTGATATGTGCTTTGGTTGAGCTTTGTATAGAGTGTTTATGTATGAGTTGTTATTTACTTTAAAGCTTTGCAATTAGGAGTTATTATTAAAGTGTAAGAACCAAGTTCTCTTTTTTTAAGAAGTAACTCGCCTTTAAGAAGGTGAATTCATTTTAAGTGTTTTTAGTCACTAGCGCAAGTCCGTTGCCATTTGATATTTTCAGACAGAGCAGCAGTTATGCTCTTGAAACTTTTAAGATGAGCAGCAGTTATGCTCTTGAGAATCATGGTGAAGAGCCACCACGATAAGTTTAAGTTTAAGGAAAGTTAGGATGGGCTCTCATACATATGAGTTGGCAACCGGACTAGCTAGTGAGGGATCCCAGTGTCGGTCAAGTATTTAAGTCAAGTTTTGAGATTTAAGAATGGAGTACAGTTACTCCCATACAGTTTTAAGAGTTTAAGATTTTTAAGAATGGAAGTACAAACAACTTCTCTCAGTTTGAGTTTAAGTGTTTGAGAAGAAGTGCAAAATTATTAGAAAGTTTAAAACGTAAGGGCGTAGACTGACCCCAACTCACTCACTAGGCCTTAGTAAGGGAATGAGCGAGAATCAGATCGGTACAGCTAGCTAGAGGAGCAGTTAGAGAGCAACGAGTTCGAGGGAAGCTAGCTAGAGGAGGGCAGTGCAAGCGTCACGGAGGATGCCTAGTTAAGATTTTCCGTAGCAGCAATGACAAATACTACCTAGTTATTTACATTTTATGATTATGAGTATGGACTGGAGATCAGATTGAGATTTTAAAGTTTGAGTTTACTTTGCCCACGTGTTAGGGCTTTGCTTTGTACTACAAGTGTGTGTTCCGAGTATTTTATTTATGAAAATTTTTCCCGCTGCAATTTAAGATTTGAATATTTTATTTATCAATGACATTTTAGTAAAAGTAGTACTCGGCCGGGTTAGGGTGTTACATTTTAGTATCAGAGCCTAGTTATGAGTCACTCAACCTATTCGATGCTACCGAGCTAGATGAGAATACTTGTTATGGTCAAGAGTACAAATAAGAACTATAGTAAGCTATTTAAGACAAGGTAAGGGCACGCCATTGAAGTTCATAGTGCAGGAGTGAAATCTTGAGACAAAGAAGCACGAGAAGGGGGGTATAGAAGGATGAGCCCGATCAAATTTCGGGGACAAAATTTTTTTAACGGTGGAGGAAATGTTACAACCCGCTCTTCCCAAAAATCAAAATGACTATTATACCCATGGGTCAAGTACCACCGTAATATCAATGAGGACTAAAAATATTAACTGTCGGTTTAAGCGGTGTCAAATTTGAACATAAATTGAGGAAGTCACGGACGTTAATTGAGTTTCGGATTAAACTCACACGTAATTGTGAGATTCCCAAAATATCTTCTAAATAATTAAACCCTAGACCATCTACCCCACTCGGCCGTAAAACCCTTGCAGCCTTTTACCTATCCGCCGAAAGCAACTCTCGGGACTCGGGGAAACTAAAGCAGAGCGGCGCCATCGTCCAATTGGAGAAAGAGCATATCATTCCCTCTACTACGAGAGTTGTTTGTTTAAGCAAGCTCGCCTCCTTTTTACTGCTATCGCACCCTTGTAATTACTAAAGGAGGCAGCGGCGGAGGACTCAAGGTGAAGCGGCGCCATCGTCCAAGGGGAGGCGGACCATCATCGCTCCCTCTGCTACGAGAGCTACTTGCTTAAGCAAGCTTCGTCTCATGGTTGGACGATAACGAAGCCGGTGGAGGTCTGATTGATGAGCATCGACTTCCCTCCTATTACGAGAGCTGCTTGCTTAAGCAAGCTCGTCTTTCTGCCGCCGCGATCTTCGCCCTGGACAATAATGACGCAAGCTGGTCAATTTAATTCCATTTGCCAAGCAAGCTGCTCCATTTTATTCAAGCAATTACGAGTGTAATAGAGTTGGAAGCAAGTATGGAAAGTTTGGAGCAAAATAAGAGCCAGTTCCGACGGAAGTAAGGTGAGAGTAAAAGGGGATAAGGGATAAATTCTACGCCTTACGTGTTCTTTCAAGTTTGACGAGCTTTAACTA